CCGGGCCCATGGCACAAGGCGCTCGGGCGGCTCCAGCCCCGGCCCTAGGGCACACACCGGCGCCGGGTGCAAGAGCATCCCAGTCCCCTGGCATGCCCCCGGGCGCCCAGCGCGTGAGTGGCCCCCACTTCCCGGGCACCTGGGAGCCTCTAAAGGTTGGGGACCACTGTTACAGACTAACAGATGTATTGGAGCATAAGCTTTCGTGGGCAAAGACCCACTTTGTCAGATGCATGTAGTGGAAATTCCAGAGGCAGGTATAAATATCCAGGCATAAGAAAAGAGTTCCAATCAAGAGTAAGGCTAGAGATAACGAGGTCAGTTCAGTCAGGGATGATGAGGCCCACTTCTAGCAGCTTCAGAGGGGGGAGCAAATCAAAGTGTTGACAGAGGGCAACTATCACCATTACAAATGGCACCCCCGTGTGTCTGTTTCTCAGAATGTAATCTCAGGACAGCAACTGGCACTGGTTGTGTCTTTTGCTGTGTCAAGCTGCACACACCTCTTTGGAATGTCCACAACTCGCTTCTCAGCCTTTTGGCTAAAATCAAGTGTTGTATTTGAGGGAGTTTGTGCATCTATCGGTCTGTCTATGTCCATCCGTCTTCTGAGAGTCCATTTGTTCAAGAATGTCTCCTAATCGGTAGGAGCTAGGACCACCCACTTAGTTATGCAGCTTCCTCTGATCATCACTTAAAGCAAGGTCAGGATTTGGTGGTTCCGGGACAATGGGATGTATCTGGAATGTGATTGTTTCTCACCAAATGGAAAGGGAGGGCTGTGATAGCAGGGGCAGTTATCCTCACGAATGACCAAGGGGGGGGAGGCAGGGAGCAAGCACAGTTATATCCTAGAATGACCACAGGGGGGCAGCAAGTGCCCAGCCCTGGGGAGTAGCCAGCAGCATGGTTCCCAGCCCATGCCTGGGGAGTAGCCATTGATCGGCCAGCACAGCCCCCATCACTCTGGGCCACCCCCAGGGAGCACTAGCAGCTGTCTCCCATGCTCTCCCTTGAGTCCCCCTTTCCTCTGAGCCCCTCCCACTTCACAACCCCTTGCTCTGAGCCCCCACCCGCTGCAGTGACTCTTGCATCCTGAGCCTCTCCTCACCCCTACTCCTGACTCCTCCACCTCCCCTCTGCCTTGAAGGACCTGAGCAATGGGGTAAATCTTCTAGTAAAACACTGATGATAACTATCCACACTGTTTCCCCCCACCCCCCTCAGCGATCCTGACGATTCTGGGGAATTCAGCAGTCCTTGCTGCGGCAGTGAAGCGCTCTTCCCATCTCAAGTCACCTGAGCTGCTTATAATAAATTTAGCCGTGACGGATCTGGGAATGGCCATCAGCATGTACCCGCTGGCTATCGCCTCCGCATGGAACCATGCCTGGCTGGGAGGAGATGTGTCCTGTATCTACTATGCCCTGATGGGTTTCCTCTTCGGTGTCTCCAGCATGATGACCTTGTGCATGATGGCTGTGATCCGGTTCCTTGTAACCAGTTCATCCACATCTAATAGTAAGTATTAAAAAAGAGTGTCAAGGCTGGGTCCTGGGCAGCCAGACCTAATGGAGACCACAGTCAGGAGTTGAGAGTCAGCTGGGTCAGGATACCAGGGGGGTCAGAGGCAGGAGACAAACTGGAGATCAGAACCAGAAATCAGAGGTCAGGAGCCCAACCAGATCAAGATGCCAGAAAGTCAGGCCAGGGAAGCATCAGGAGGTGGAGGCACAAGATGTACGGTCCAGGTCAGGGTGGATCCCAGGTGTTCAGACAGCTTCCTATTCCTGGCTTAAATAGGATGGGCCAGCCAATCAGCTGCTCTGGGACTCTGCCAATAGGACCTCAGGGGTGGAGCTTCAAGCTGACTGGCCGTCCTAGGTCTGGGCTCAGCACTCATCAACAGGCTGCCACGTGAAGGGGTGAAGCAGGCCTGCTCCAGTGGATCTAGGTTCGGGCCCTGCGGGTCAAGACAATGAGTCATCTGGGGCCCACACTAGCAAAATATTTGCAGGCTCCTGAGGCTTCTCTCTTTACATACGTAATGCGGGATGGAGGATTCCAATAGACAGCCTGGTACACAGGAGCCAGGAACTGCAGGACCTCAGTGCTTTGGTGAATATGGCCCTAACCCTGTGTTCCTCAGCTTTCCTAAATGCAGGTAATTCCTTCCTCCCATCCTTTTTCCAGCTCGTCTAGGTCGGCTATAACTTGAGGGAAGGCAGTGTCTCTCACTGCATGTATGTACAGCACCTAACCCAATGGGGCCTCTAGGTGCTGCTGTAACACAAGCAATGCCATGGTGATGGGTTTCGGACCAGAATCTGGAGCTTATTTGTCCTGAAACTCAGAATCCTTTAAGGTTCATTTATCCCTGCTCCTTGGGGACCTTAAGATCCCCAGTCACTGGGCTGGTGGAAGCTGGGTGTTTCATTAAAGTGATAGCCAGGGGGTCTCCTGAAGGAAGAGTGCAGTAGAGCAGAGCTGTTTGAGAGCCCCTTTGTAGCAGGCTGCTGACAGCTGTTTCCAAGTAGGCTGCACTTTGTCGTTTTAAATGTTGTGTTGTCAGCCGCTACTAAAGGGAAGCGAATAAAGAAAGCAGATAGGAGAGGAGACTTGGCTTCCGAATGAGAGACAGACAATAGTCTTGTGGGAAGTCCACCATGCCATTGGTGGTTCCTAGGGACTCGCTGTTCCTTTTCTTCCAGGCAATACTATCAACAAGAAGGCCGTTCGCATTTCGATTGTGTTCATCTGGCTCTGCTCACTGCTCTGGGCCATCCTGCCTTTGCTGGGTTGGGGTTATTATGGCCCCGAACCGTTTGGCATCTCCTGCACGATAGCATGGAGCGAATTCCACAACTCCTCCAACGGCTTCTCTTTTATCCTGAGCATGTTCGTTCTGTGCACACTCCTACCTGCATTGACCATCCTCAGCTGTTACCTGGGCATCGCGTGGAAGGTTCACAAAACGTACCAGGAGATACAGAACTTTGACAGGATCCCGAACGCGGCAAAGATGGAGAGGAGGCTGACACTGGTGAGTGACCAGAACACAGCAAAGTAAGCAGGAGCCCTGGGTGAAGATTCAGGACTCCACCGGGAGATACCCTTCTAGTTGCCCTGATCTCCTCAAGCCCTCTGACTGCAGCTGTGGCAGCCCCTCCCAGCGAGAGAGGCAGTGTCCTAGACAGGAATTCTTGTAATAGAAAGAAGTAATAACAGCATTGGTACCTACTCCTGGGAGAAATTACTCCTGGGAGAATTACTCCTGGGAGAAAGTCGTTACTGCACGATTCTACCCCATAGTTCAGCAGCTATTTGCATACTTTGTTCTACCCATCCCCCACCTTGGACAGCGTCAGCTTCCAGCTGCATTCATTTCTTAGCCTCAGCTGAGACGGCTACCAAGGCAATCCAATTAGTGCCATTCCAGAGTTCTGGGCTTTGTGACATGAGCACCTGTCAGCATTCATCAGTTCAGAAAGGAGGGTTCACAGGGGTTTGGTTAATGCTCCGATAAATGATAAACGCTCTGATCTTGCCATTAAGATCGAGTTGGCCTCCCATCCCAAGGGTAGATGATGCATGTTAGACACACTCATGCCTTGTGCGTTGATGCCCTGGTCAGCGCATCCCCTGCCCCTTGTCCGCAAGCGAGACAGGCTCTATTCCCTCGGTGCCCGCTGCCGAGCGCCAATCTGGCCCTGTGGGAGTCTGGTTCTCCTGGGGTTTGGCCCCCCAGCCAGGTCAAGTTCGGACCCTTCCTGGTGGAACAGAGCCTTCAAAAAATGGTCATTGAGGCTGGAGCACGTGGCTTATGAGGAGAGGCTGAGGGATTTGGGTTTGTTCAGTCTGCAGAAGAGAAGAGTGAGGAGGGATTTGAGAGCAGCCTTCAACTTCTTGAAGGGGGGGTTCCAAAGAGGATGGAGAGAGGCTGTTCTCAGTAGTGACGGATGCAGAACAAGGAGCAACGGTCTCAAGTTGCAGTGCGGGGGTCTAGGTTGGATATTAGGAAAAACTATTTCCCTAGGAGGGCAGTGAAGCACTGGAATGGGTTACCTAGGGAAGTGGTGGAATCTCCAGACCTAGAGGTTTCTAAGTCTCACCTTGACAAAGCCCTGGCTGGGTTGATTTAGTTGGGATTGACCCTGCCTAGGGCAGGGGGCTGGACTCAATGACCTCCTGCAGCCTCTTCCAGCTCTATGATTCTATGATGATCTCAGGCCAGGTCTTCAGCCTCGGACTCTGAGTCCAGTGGATCCTACATCCCTTGTCTCAGGGGTTTCAATCATCTTTACTCCGTGTATGGATGGGGGGGATTTCACACCACTGTCCTTGGTGGCCAGCTATAGGCCCCAGGCCCACCCTCTCTTCTGCATTCCAGTTCAGGGACCCTGTAGCAAGCAGCTGAGGTCTGCTCCCTCAAGTGCCTTGCTACTTCCCTGCAGCATTTCCTGCCTTGGCCTGTCCCTCAGCCCTTTATCTCAGTCCACTTCTGAGGACGTCACAGACTGTTCAGACTCTTTTAGCAAGCAACCCATCCTGGGCTTTTCTCCCTGGAGAGTCACTTCCTGTCCTTCCATCACAGGCCCTTCCATCCCTCTCGGTAGCTTACCTGACCTTTGCCTGGATTCTTTTCCCAAATGAAGATCTCTCAGACCTTCTCCCCTCAGCGTTGCCTGCCTCTCTTCCACTGCCCTGACGTCCTTCCCCTCTATTAGCCACCTAGATCCTTCCCAGTGGGCCTCAAGCCTAAATTAGGCTTGGTCCACCTTCCCGGTGCAGCCTGGGCACAAATTGCTCTCTGGATCAGCTAACACACACTCTGCCGGTGTGGGGTACACACCCCTCACAAGGGTGCAGCTCCTGCTCTCAGGAGTTGTCCTGCCACAGAGTCAGGACCACTTGCCATGTTTCAGCCTCAATGCATTAACTTGTTCTATAAATTGAACTAAACAGTATGGGCAGACAACCAGAGAGCATTTGGAATCACATTGGTTTCAACAGCATGACTGCACAGCCATGAATTATATAACTCATATGCTTTCCTGCCCCTTACACCTACAAGATACAACAGTGTCCCTGATTTATGCTTGTATGTATGTATCTCCAGTCATGCTGGAATGGGTGTCAAATATGTTAATGTATCATTTTGAGTCGGGTCTGCCTTGTAGCCCTACAGAATTTTTAATGGACATAGAGACCAGATGGTGCTGAGTAAGGCTGGTTGAAAGTTTTCCATCACAACTTTTTTTTTGTATAAAAAATTGGGGTGTTGACTAAATAAAGCTGCTCATTAAAAGTGTCTTCTCTGTGGCTACGTCTAGAATGCAAGCCTCTTTCGAAAGAGGCTTTTTCAAAAGATCCTTTTGAAAAAGCCTCTTTCAAAAAAGAGCGTCTAGACTACAACCAGTATTTTCCAAAACGTGGCTCGCTTTTTCGAAAGAGAGCACCCAGACAGTCTGGATGCTCTCTTTCAAAAAAGCACAGTTTGCATTACATAGCACCATTTTTCGAAAGAGCACTTTCAAAAAAAGGCGATCTTCCTCATAAAACGAGGTTTTCCACGGTTGAAAAAACTGCCGCTTTTTTTTCGATTTACTTTCAAAAGAACGCGGGAGCAGTCTAGATGCAGGGGAAGTTTTTTTGAAAAAAGGCCACTTTTTTCGAAACAACCCTGTGATCTAGACACACCCACGTGGTGTATGGAAAACTGAAATATTTTGATCCAGCAGTGCCTCATAAGAGTTGTTCAGGATCCCTTCTCCCACATGGACCAGGCTCTCTGGTTCTCCTATTACATAACCCAGGCAGGGTAGGGGGATAGCGGTGTTAACTGAGGACTGAACACGCTCTGCCTTTTTCAGATGGCTGTGCTTGTCAGCATCGGATTCCTTGGTGCCTGGATGCCGTACGCAGCAGTCAGCTTCTGGTCCATCTTCAACTCCAGCAGCTCCCTACATCCTGTCCTTACGCTATTGCCCTGTCTGTTTGCTAAGTCGTCAACGGCTTATAACCCTTTCATCTACTACGTCTTCAGCAAAACTTTCCGGCGTGAAATTAAGCAAATGAAGTGCTGCTCTAGCTGGCGAGTTCACTTCTTTAACACGGAGAACTCCATCGAAAGCCCCATGTCGATGGTGTGGCTGGCGAGAGAAAACATGCGAGCTTGTCCAGCCGCAAAGGCAAACAACCAGGAGGCCTCAAGCCAATGAGCAGCAGAGCTGGCTTTACTAACACAGCGGAAAAGCCTACTTCATCCTGTATGATAGGGAATCAGCACTTGGAGGGCTGTCATGTATGTTAAAATAAATTGCCACTGTGAATCACGTGAAATATTGTAAGGAACCATGATTTCTTTTTTTAACGTTAAGCACCTCGGGAAGAGGGGGTTTTTGAAAGACATTTACTTTATGAAAATTCCAATCTCAGTGGCTTCCTCCCTGCCCTAAACCAAATCAAACTTGCTTCAGCTTAACTACTGCAGAGGAATAAGAACTACGTTTGAAAAACAATTGACTGGTTTTTATTTTTTTCCCTATGTCTTGACTTGATGCTGGAATCTCTGTGCTGCTCGTGACTGTGCCTCAAGAGGAAACATCTGAGAATACTGGAAGTTGATCCCACTCAAATGAGAGGCCTTTAAGCAAAGGAGGGCGAGAACATGCCACTTCCTCAGCTAGGTCCACCGACAATGGGGAGGGGGTGCAAAAGCGGTAATTGCCCCAGGGCTGGGTGAATCAAAGGGGCCTAAGGCTCTGGCCACCACCACAGCAACAGTAATGGTGGCTGAGCCCCAAGCCTGTTTAAATTGGTGTTGGAGCAACAGGCCACATGCTCCAAGCAGCATTAAGGACTGGAAAGGGGAGGAGCGCACCAGGCTCCCAGCAGTGCTGAGGGCCAGCTGCCCTCAGCCCTGCCCCTGCTGCCCTCAGCCCCACCCCTTCCAAGATCACAGAGCCAGGTCCTCTCCCCACGTTGCCAAGGAGTCTATGGAGGCTGTCGGCTCTGCTGTCCAAGGTTCCCTCTAAGCTGCGCGGCAGAACGGCCCCACAGCCGCTTAATAAGCCCTATCCAGGGGCTCAGGGCTCTTCACATGGAGCTGCCTGGCTGGGGGATGGATACGTCTCCCTCAGGGATAGCAGCAGCTCCCTGCTGAGGACGGAGCATCGAGTCTCTCCTAGCCGCAGAGCAGGCTTGATTCTCTGCTAAGTGTAGTGTAAATTGGGAGTGATTTCATTGGAGTCAATGGCTCTACTCAGAGGAGTCTCAGGCCCCTGTGGGCAGGCCTGCTGACAGGACGGGGGCAAAAGGGACAACTGCCCTGGGGCTTCAAAAGGGCCCAGTTCTCTCAGCAGAGCTTGGAGCCCCCTACCCTTTAAATCGCAGCTGGAGCCCAGAAGTCTACATAGCAATGAAACAGCCTCACAGCGCAAGCCCCTTGAGCCAGAGTCGGCTCCGATGGTTTTTCTTTGCTGTGTAGACATAGCCTCAGATGAACACGATTTCTTGGGGGAAGAGTCAACTTGGCTTTTATCAAAGGAAACCATTAGGATTCAGCAAATATGTAGATAAGGATGATCCACTGGATACAGTAATTCCTCATTTAACATGTGCCCACTTATCACGTTTTCACGATAGCATGATTTTTTTTTAGGGAACGTTTTTTGAATTACACGACCCCGGAATAACACGATTTCCCCAGCTGGCCTATTGCTGGTGGCTACGCGGGGCTTCCCCCTCCTCCCTGCAAAGCAGCGGAGGGTTCGCCGCTTGCCGTGCTGTTCCCCAGTGACCCCCCTCGCCGGACGTAGTGCGGGTCCCGACAGATCCATCACAGGGGCATACTCCCAACCCAATCCCCCCCTTCTTTCCTCCCCTTCCCCAGAACCAAACACCTCTCCTCCCTGCTGTAACCCAGTCCCCTTTCTCCTCCAACCTTATGTCTCAGTCCCAACAGATACCACCACTTGAAATGCAACCCCCACCTTTTCCATTATTTTCAATGGGAAAATTGACCCCGCATAACACATTTTCACTTAACACGATCATTTTCGGAAACCTATCTATAGTGTTAAATGAGGAATTACTGTATAGGATTCTTGCACTTTCAGAAAGCCTTTGACAAGATCCCTCACCAAAGGCTCTGAAGTAAAGTAAGCTGCCATGGGATAAGATGGGCAGTCCTCTGATGGATCCTAACTGGTTAATAACATGGATGGCAAGTGAATACTTCCCCTCCCCCTTTGGGAATGTTAGCCCACTGATCTAGCTCTTTCCACCCACGTCCACTCCCCTGCACACCAGAGCCATGTCCCCCTTCCCTGCAGCTGGAAGACTCCCACTGCCTGCCCAGCCCCAGAGCTGGCCAGCCCGACCCCCCGGCTGGCAGCCCTACTGCTGGTCTCAGATAGAGTTGCTAATTGTCTCACCCTACAAACCCATGTTAAAAATAGATATATTAGAAATGAAAAGGGACAGAGAAGGGCAACAAAAATGATCAGGGGTATGGAACAGCTGAGGAGAGATTAAAAAGATTGAGATTGTACATCTTGGAAAAGAAATATCGAAGGGGAATATAAAATCTATACAATGATGAATGGCGTGGAGAAAGTAAGCAAGAAAGTGTTATTTGCTTCTTCATATAACACAAGACCCAGAAACTCATGGCCCTTAGATATTGCGAAGGCCAAAACTATAACTGAGTGCAAATACAGATTTGGTGAGTTCATTTAGGGGTTCAAGGTCCATCAATGGCTATTAGCCAAAATGGCCAGTGATGATACCCAACAGTCTGGGTTTCCTTAGGTCCCTGACTGCCGGAGGCTGGGAATGGACAATGGGGGGTTTCACGCAATAGTCGTCCTGTTCTGTTTATTCTCTCTGAGGCTTCTGGCATTGGTCTCTGTTGGGAGCCAGGATATTGAGTTAGATGAACCATTGGCCTGACCTAGTATTGCGCAAAAAGAAATGGCAGAAAATATGCAATTGAGATCACGACTCATGCAAAGGAGTCCCTCATTAGCATATTTGCTGCTGCAAAAACTTGCAGTGTAGATGTAGCCAAATTGTATTAGCTTATGCATTATTCACTGACACCATAAGGATACGTTTGCACTGCAGTGCTATTTTGGGATACTTCTGGTATGTCAAAATAGCTATTCCTTGTCTTTGAAACAAGCCCCTTATTTTGAAATATAATGGGCTCGCTATTCTGATGTCCCTGTAAACATCATTCCACAAGGATTAAGGGACATTTCACAATTGGTTTATTTCAAAATATGGCCTGTGTAGACAGCACCAAGTTACAAAATTAGCTTTTTCAAAATTAACTCCAAATAAGCTATTTGTGCAGCTCAAATTGCGCAACTTATTTCACGCTAAGGGTGCAATCTAGACACCCCCTAAGTGAACTCCTGAGGAGGGAGATGTGACACAGGTAGAAATGAGGAGTTCAAATGACTATATTGAAAACGTGCCTGAAAAATATGGACTTTTAGGTCTATCAGTATTAAGTGGATCTCCTGGAGAATCCCTAGGGAGAGGTTAATGAAAGTTCCCATCTCTGGTTATGTAAAACCCTTGCCTTTCAGAGCTTTGGCCAAAGGAGTTGGTCACAGGCTGTTATAGAAGACCAAGCTCAAAGGCCCAAGCTGTATAAAGAAATGGCTGATCTGTTCAGTTCTCATTCTGGGTCTACTACAGCTGAACTTGTAACCATAGGGAAAACTCTGCTGTGGGTTTGACGACTAAAACCTTGCAGAGCCCTAGGCTGGAATTGTTGGGACCTCTGGTGAGCTTTCTAGCATGCATGTGGGCTCTTGTATTGTTTTAATAGGGTTTCTTTGTAATACTTTTACCTTAAGAATAAATGTGCTTGCTTCAAAAGAGCGATGTAGTAACATAACTGTTGGCAACACACTGGTTATAGTCTTCAGAAGTGCAGGCCTGTTTAGGCAATCTGACTTGCTGGGAATAGCACAGTGTAAAGCAGAGAGCTGTGCAGCCTTAAAACACTAGTCAGGACTTGGGAGTAACACCTGAAACCCCACCCAACATAGGTGACAGCTGGGAGCCAGAAGCCTGAAGAGGGTGCCTTTAGTGGACGATGGAGGGGGAATACAGGCACAATGGCACACCTCATTAACTCTGAAGATAGATCAAGGAAGCAATGAGCTAGGTTTTGTAGTGAAATTCATGCCTTCCTGCTCAATGTCCATGTAAGCTGGGTAGTGTGAAAAGTAGTGCAAATAAGGGAATTAACCCCAATAATTCAAATAAACCGGATCCAGCAAGCAGAGCCAGTTACAAAATAGCCACTTGAGAAGCAAAGCTGCTTCTCTGCCAGATTTAAAGGGATAGCCTCCAGAAACACATGCTGGGGGGGAAAAAAGTCCCATATGCTGACCAACCTGAAGTGGGGAAAGCAGAACAGTCTCCACATAAAGTACTCTGTCTAGGAGTCACAGTCCTAGGACTAACTATCAGGTAAGCGTATGCATCAGGTGACTCAGGAGGACTGGTGCTGCTAACTCTCACAGCGGCTTTTGAAAAGCTCACCCTTTTGTAAGGGAGTAGGGAAACCCTTTGTCCTAACAGGAAACTGAAGTGCACTCAGCTACCCATAGGAGTGACTGGTTTGCTTGAATGATCAAAGTTAAAAATAAACCCAATGGTGATTAATCTGATCCATAGTGGGAGCCAGGTAAAGGGCAGATAATGAAGCAGTGATGGTCTCACTTCTTGAGAAGTCAGTAGGTTCAGGTCAATTATGTGCATGGCTGTAGCTAAATCCTGTCAATAGCTGTAGCTGAGATGCCTGTCAGGAGCAGCATCCGTTCAGGAGAAGACATAAAGGATCAATGGATGAGCAAGGACTATTTCAAAAGTAAAATGCAGGCTTCAGAGAGGGATGCCTCCTCCCCCCCACCAATTAATCAAACAAACTGCCTCCTGAGCGTGTTGTGGTCTCACTAAGCCAGCTTGTGTTATACCACTACTGCCGTATGAGGGATTTCCATAGAGTTACACTAGACATGAATCTAGCCTGCTGTGTTTGCAGTAATTCAAACAATTAAACTGTGGCCCTAGAGGAGTCACTTTGGGCCACAAATGTTTACAGGTATTTAGGCACCTGCAGGTGCAGATGGGTATTTTCAGATTTTCAGTAACACCTAAGCAAGTTGGCTGCATAAATCCCTCCAAAATCCATGGGAGTTAGGCTTCTAGCTTGCTTAGGAACTACTGACCGTCTCATGAAATCTCTCTAGCAACATAGATAAGCACCTTAATCTATTTAAGCGACAAAGGAGTCCTGTAGTACCTTAGAGTATGTCTACACTGCATCCCTAGTTCGGACTAGGCCTGCAAATGGAGACGACCAAAGTAGTTAATGAAGCGGGGATTTAAATATTCCGCGCTTCATTAACATGATCTCGCCGGCGCGCTAGTTCGAGTCACAGCTGATTCAAACCAGGAAACGCGTGCCGGGGCGCAATACTCATCAGGCTGTTTTCATCAGTTAACTGGGACAACAAAACTAGTATGTTTACAAAAGCTAAACTACATGTGCACACTTAGGCTAGGTCTGTACTGTAGGCTTTTTGCACAAGACCATCTGTTGTGCAAAAACTTGCAGTGCATCTACACTTCATAGATTCATAGACTTTAAGGTCAGAAGGGACCATTATGATCATCTAGTCTGACCCCCTGCACAGTGCAGGCCACAGAATCTCAACCACCCCTCTTAGAATAATCCTCTCACCTATATCAAAGATATTGAAGCATTCAAATACTTTGAAGGACCCAACATGCAGAGAGTCCTTCAGCTGTGATCTGTGCCCCGCTTCATTAACTACTTTGGTCGTCTCCATTTGCATCCCTAGTCCGAACTAGGGATGCAGTGTAGATGTATCCTTATAGACTAACAGATGTATTGGAGCATAAGCTTTCGTGGGCAAAGACCCACTTCGTCAGATGCATGTAGTGGAAATATCCAGAGACAGGTATAAATATGCAGGCCAGATTCAGACTAGAGATAACGAGGTTAATTCAGTCGGGGAGGATGAGGCCCACTTCTAGCAGCTGATCTGGAGGTGTGAATACCAAGAGAGGAGAAGTTGCTTTTGTAGTTAGCTTGCCATTCACAGAATAAATAAGGGAAAAGGGGGTGGGTGGGGGGAGGGAGGGAGAGGAAAAAAAGAAAAAAAAGGAGGGGAGGAAAAAAAAGACAGCGAGTAGATAGAAGAATTTGTTTGAGGATGGGGAATGGCTGTAGGCGAGAACTGGCCTTTCCAGGATGGAAAATGACCCCTCACTCTGAGGCCTATTTCGAAATAGTGCCATAACGCAATTATGCAAATGGAGCACGGGATATTTAAATCCCCGCTTTATTTGCACTTTCTATGTGTCTAATTTACATCCCTCTGCCGAAAGAGGGATGTAGTCTAGACACAGTCTAAGGGTCAGATCATGTGCCTTTGTGTCACATGGGTGAACAATTTCTCACCTGTTAGAGACCCCTCTGAAAGTAACAGTTCATCACTGTGAATAGGTGGTTTACAATCTGGCTCTGCACTCATCAGTAGCAATCTCAGTGTCACTCATTTTACAGCTGAGAACACCACACAGTGGTGACACTATGATGTTTGGAAGAAGGGCTTTTCAACTAACTTTTCCATAAAAATCTACTAGCTCTAAAGGCACAAGAACTTTTGGGATAGCACTTGCCTTCATCCATGCTGCAGTAAAATACCCATAAGTTGGCCTGGGGCCAGCTGACCAGCTCTGGGGATAAGGCTGTAAGCATTTGGGCTCAGATGGTAGGGTCTTTGAGCCCAAGTTCCAACCCAACCACACACACTGCAATTTTCAGCTCCACAGCCAATCCCTACAAGCCTCCTCACCCTGGCTCTGAGGCTTACTGCTGCGGGTTTATTGAAGTATGAATTAGGGATGTAAAATCCCATTTAATTGATTAACCCTGTAAGTGTGAAGTTTAACCAAATAAAGAGGGAGCACCATGGGCCTATGCTGCTGCATCCTGGCTGGAACAATTCCTCCCTGGGCTGTGGCTGGTGTCTACTGCCACTGAAGTCAACAGGAATTTTGTCCTGGACTTCAATGGGAACAGATGGCGGCACAGAGGGTGTAAAAGGTTTTGAAAAGAGACTCCATTACAGATCAGATGAAACAGGAGATGTACGTTGGCTAGCAGGCTAGCATCAGTGAAAACACAGCTGGATCATAACTGAGGAGGGGCAGGAAATCATTTGCAGCCGAAAGCCAGAGCTCTGAGCCCTGCTATCCCGTACATTTTCCTAACTCTAGTGTAGGCCAGGCCTGAGAAAGGAATCAAAGCAATGCAGTAATTGAAGACAGAAGTCACAAATGCATGGAACACTATGGCTAGGCCTGGGCACTGGCCAGGAGGCTACATCCCATCCTAAGAAGGACGAAGGAAGCGTGTTTTACTTCTGTCACGACTTGGGAGTCCAGGAGCAGACACTGACACGGGCCCATAGGCCTCTCCTGAAGAGAATCAACTGAATACATAATCCAGAGGCAAAGTTTTTGGTTGGGATCAATATTGTTAACTTTAAGATCAAAAGAATGCAGCACTGCTCAGGACCATGTGCACACACTCCATCAGACAGCCTATTTTAATTAAAGATTTCATCAATTTCAATCCTCAAAGCCAGCAGGAGATGCTATTGATGGGATTTGTAAATTCAGCAAGTAGTTTATCCAGCTGCAGGAGACTTCACTTGACATAAAGGAAATTGTTGTTGAGCCTCTCACAGATTACAAAAACAAGACAAGATACTAGCTCTGGTACCAGAGAGCTTGTAATCTCTTAGTAAAATGTGACAGTCTGTAAAGGCGTCAAACAAAAGCATGAAATGGGGTAAGGTTGTAAATGGGTTAGAACAGTTGGATCTTTGTGACCAATGAGGGAACTGTCTGATATTTTTTAGAAACTCTCTTAAGGACTCTGTATTAATCACTTTGCCATTGCTAGCTTGGGGGTACAGAAGGGTTAAAATGCTGCTTTTGGTGTAGAACAAAAGACAAGCTGGGTTGTTTCATGTAAGGGTCTGGGATTAGGAAGTTTTCCTGGGAAAACAAAAGGAAGTTTTCCTTCACTCAGTGCACAGTTAGCCTGTGGAACTCCTTGCCAGAGGATATGGTGAAGTCTAGTACTTTAACAGGGTTCAAAAAAGAGCTAGATTGATTCATGGTGTGTGTCTAGACTACAGGTTTTTTTTTTTTAAAAGTGGCTTTTTGAAAAAACTTCCCCTGTGTCTAGACTGCTGCTGCGTTCTTTCGAAAGTAAATCAAACAAACGTAGCAGTCTTTTCGACAGCAGAAAACCTTGTTTTATGAGGAATAATGCCTTTTTTTGAAAGTGCTCTTTCGAAAAATAGCGCTATGTAATGCAGACTGTCTGGGTGCTCTCTTTCAAAAAAAGCAGCTCGCTTTTTCGAAAAGTACTGGTTGTAGTCTAGATGCTCTCTCTCAAAAGAGGCTTTTTCGAAAGATACTTTCGAAAAAGCCTCTTTTGAAAGAGGCTTGCAGTCTAGATGTAGCCATGGAGGATAGGTCCATCAATGGCTGTTATCCAGGAAAGGTAGGAATGGTATCCCTAGTCTCTGTTTCTTTGGAGGTGGGTGACAGGGGAGCGATCACGTGAATACTACCTGTTGTGTCTCCTCCGTCTGGGGCATCTGGTATTGGCCACTGTCGGCAGACATACTAATGGGTTGATGGACTGTTGGTCTGACCCAGTATGGCTGTTCTTATATTCTCATTATATAATTGGGTTGCTAAGGACAATGGAGAATCGTCAAAGACAAAGGAAGCCCTAATAGCTGCATAATGAACACTTGATAGGATGCTCTGAGCAAGGGAACTCTGCAGGAGGAAAATAAACCAAAAGGTGACTGGAGGCCGTAAGCCCAGTTCTTATCACTGAGGACCAGCCTATGCAACTAAATTAAGTTGATGTACAGACAACACAGTAATTACTGCAGTGGTTCATGTCCACATTACGCTTTCTGTTGGTGACGTGTTTTCACTAGGAGCCCTTCCAGGATCTAAACTGCATGGAGCAGACAGCTAGAACTCCCCTGGAGCTGACAGCCAGAGCTCTGCACTCTGCTGCCCCTTACATTTACTTAACTTCAGCATAGGCCAGGTCTGCGATAGCAGCTCTCACCTGAGACTGACAGACACAAAGCCGAGATGGATTCTACAGCAGCTTGGCTAGGTGGAGTCTTGGCACTTGCCAGGATGAACTACAGCAGAACCTCAGAGTTATGAACCCAGAGTTACGAACTGAACACACAAGTCATTTGGAACTGCAAGTACATGAGTACTGTGTGAGATGTAAACCACTACAAAAAAGGGAAAGTTTTAAAAAAAATATTTGGCAAGTTAAGGAAACTTTCTGTGCTTATTTCATTCAAACTAAAGATGGTTACAAGCAGCATTTTACTTCTGCATAGTAAAGTTTCAATGTTGTATTAAGTTAATGGTCAACTTAAAATATCCCAAATTAAGTCCTGTTGTATTAAGTGGATACTGGAGGCTGGAGCAGAGCTGTGGAGTCCCAGGTCTCGGTCTGGCCTCTCTAGGCATGCTGGGACTACATGAGGTTCTGCTGCATTTACGAGTTTCCATGTTCCAAGAGAGGGCAATGCAGGACCTGCCCCTTCTCACACAGCCACATGATATGGTGTCAGTGTTTGCAGTTTATTTTCTTATACTTTCCAACTAAAGTAAAATCAAAGATTTGCTCCTTAGACTTTACTGCTTTAACATCCAAATGCCACTAACTCTAGTGGATTCTACTACCTTTATGCTGCACTTAGCTGGTTTTACCCGAAGGTTCCTGGAGCTAAAGCACCAGTTAAATACACTGAAGTTAGAACATAAGAATGGCTATACTGGGTCAGACCAAAGGTTCACTCAGCTCAGTATCCTGTTTGCTGACAGGGGCCAATGCCAGGTGCCCCAGAGGGAGTGAACTGAACAGGTAATGATCAAGCGATCTCTCTCCTGCCATCCATCTCCACTCTCTGACAAACAGAGGCTAGAGACAACATTCCTTACCCATCCTAATAGCCAGGGCTTGACAAACGGCAGCGAAAACCGCTCGCCAGCCCCGTACTGTGCGTGTACAAGAGCCGCATTGCACATGCACGCCCCTCTGACAAACAGAAGGTAGGGATACCATTCTTTACCCATACTGGCTAATAGCCATTAATGGACTTAACCTCCATAGATTTATCTAGTTCTCTTTTAAACCCTGTTATAGTCCTAGCATTCACAGCCTCCTCAGGCAAGGAGTTCCACACATTGACTGTGCGTTGTGTGAAGAACTTCCTTTTATTTGTTTTAAACCTGTTGCTCTTTAATTTAATTTGGTGGCCTCTAGTTCTTATATTATGGGAACAAGTAAATAACTTTTCCCATACCTCTATCATATCCCCCCTTAGTCTTCTCTTTTCCAAGCTGAGAAGTCCTAGTCTCTTTAATCTCTCCTCATATAGGACCGGTTCCAAACTCCTAATCATTTTAGTTGCCCACCTCTGAACTTTTTCTAATGCCGGCATATCTTTTTTGAGATGAGGAGACCACATCTGTACACAGTATTCAAGAGGTGGGCGTACCATGGATTTATATAAGGGCAGTAAGATATTCTCCGTCTTATTCTCAATCCCTTTTTTAATGATTCCTAAGTTTATTTAAAAACAAAACAAAACAGAGCAATGAGGATGATGGGAGGAAAATCAACCACCCTGAGCCAAAATATTAGAATAGGTATTTTATTTAGCTGATTTCTTGAAATAATCCTGAATAATTTTACAGAACTCCTTTGTACCTTTAGAGAGAATTTCAATATACACAGTCATACAAAATATTCCTCACAGATAGAACACACCTGACAATTACAGCTTTCTTAGAAAGCACACAAGGCACCAGACATTGTAACCAAATTTACGTGTTTGGCTCTTCCAAGCTGATGATTGATCATATTCCATAAATGATTATTATAAGGCCCATTTTGTGGCATGATGTTTCACTGTTACATAGTCTGCTGTCTCTTATCCAGGCACTTCTCAATATCGTCAAGCACCTGTACAGCTGCCTTTGGAATCCGAGTCCCTGGACCAAATACACTGGAGACACCAGACTCATAGAGGAAATTATAATCCTGTTCAGAGAGAGATTTAAATAGTTAAAAACTGGAACATAAAGTATATCCTTACAGTATCTATGAGTAAATCTCCAAAGAGCTTTAAGATCAAAGGTTTGCAACTGCTCCCAGAAACATTCGCTAGGAATGGCAGAAAAAAGCTCAAACATAAAAAAATAAATTCTGAATAATTTCACTGTAAGGATTCTGTCAATTTAACATCAGATTACCTAACATTTTCAATGAGACACAGAAAGTGGCTCTGATGCTTCTCTGTCTAAATTGGTGCATGGTATAGCTGTGTAATGTTAACAGAAGCTGTTTCACCCAAGAGCTGACTGCATTTCAGTGTGAGGATTTGGGCCCTCCAAAGGACATGAAAGCCAAATAACTTTAATTAATCTTCTGTGGTAGCGCCCAATGTATGTTAAGTGTTTCCCAAATGCTGAAGCACAGCCCCTAATCCAAAGAGTTTGCCCTCTAAGGACAAAGGAGTGAAAAAAAGAGGGGAAAGAACAACAATATGTTATTTATATACTGACCAACTTGATTAATCCCAGGCAGCATAACAGACAAATATCTTACAGGAACTTAAATGTGGACAAGAAAGGGGCTTAGGTGAGCTCAGGCAAGTCATACCAGGCATTAGAGGGCTTAATGACAGAAGGCATGAAAGGGACTGTATGGCAATCTGAAACACAGTGAACAAGCTTGGGAGTACTGGTAGAATGGAGATATGGCCACACTATGCCAGACAAGGAAGGATAATTAGGGTCAGTAAGACTATGGGCTGTGAATCTGTGTTAGCCTAAAGTCTCTACTCACAGTAAAGTCCTAGTCTGTGACAGGTTCTTAGATGCTACACACGCTACAAATAATAATGTATTCTAAAGGAGGATCTTGCCTTAAATTTGCATTCCTTTGGGCTCTATAAACAAAACAATAACTATTGTTATTATGAAGACTCTCCTGTACTCCTGAGACTATGGGCTGTGAATCTGTGTTAGCCTAAAGTCTCTACTCACAGTAAAGTCCTAGTCTGTGACAGGTTCTTAGATGCTACACACGCTACAAATAATAATGTATTCTAAAGGAGGATCTTGCCTTAAATTTGCATTCCTTTGGGCTCTATAAACAAAACAATAACTATTGTTATTATGAAGACTCTCCTGTACTCCTGAAGTAACAGGCTGAGCACTGTCCTTAGCTTTGTGGTAAAACCAAGGGATTTTTTGGCTAAGGTACTTTTAGAAGGCGCTAGGGATTTTCTTGGAAAGAGACGCTTGCTCCTTCATCATGACTTCTGGCTTATATGAGAGTGAAATCCTACTGCTCAGGAGAACTGAAGAATAGGCCCATCTAATGGAAACATTTGCATTTGGCAGTACAGCAGCAACTGCTCCTACATGAATCCATAATGGAAAATGGAAGCTATTATACACTGTTCCTTTAATACCTGCATCTGGTATGTGTAAATGTGGTGAACCTTTCTTCTAAGAACAAACAAACAGATCCGGGAGTATATATCAAATATACAGTAAGCCCAGTTGTCTTATTTTTAAAGTGCAACAGTTTTCAGTGCTGAACTGAATTTTAATTTATAAATTGGGAAACAAATGAGAAGTCAATGGTAGAATAATCCCATGCTGCTAGTTTTTCTAAACAAAAGCAGCTTAGTGCTTTATCCTGCCAGAAGCTTTGCGAGTTAAACCAGAACAGGATAGGTACGACAAACCAGGGTTTAACTTGCATGAAACTTGACATCAGCAATGTCTTTCTGTGATTAGCATGAAACTGACCCTACCTACCTGACAAGTGTTTTGGAAAGCCTTCAGCATTGTAACTCCCCCGTAATGATAAGAATGCACAGCAAAGAGCTAACAAAACAGCAGAGTGACACTGAGTGTTCTTATAACTGTGAGGTATATTGGTTCTGAAAAGCACTACCTGAGGGGGGATGACACCTCCACACATAACAAGAATGTCTGGACGGCCAAGTGTGTTCAGCTCTTTGATGAGTTCAGGAACAAGAGTTTTATGACCTGCAGCTAATGTGCTCACACCCACACAGTGCACATCAGCATCCACAGCCTGCTGGGCTACTTCCCGGGGTGTCTAAAGAGAATTTAAACAGCAAACAGCAGTTAGTGGTAAAATGAATGCTGAACAAGAACGGCAGAGAAGAAAGCTGCATTGCAAATACACTTTAAGGGACAGGATAGATTAAATAATACCTGGAAGAGTGGGCCTATGTCCACATCAAAGCCAATATCTGCAAATCCTGTAGCAATAACTTTAGCTCCTCTATCATGGCCATCTTGACCCATCTTGGCAACAAGAAGACGAGGTCTGCGTCCTTCATGGTCCATGAACTTGTTTACTCTGATTTAAAAAAATACATTTTATTCTTCTAAGTCACTGTGCTTCCTCAAAAGAGTCTACAAAAGACAGGTGCTAGTGGCAGCTCTTGCACCTTACATTACACTAACAACCAACAAATGGTTGGTACATGCAGCACGCTTACCATTTTAGTATTTCACTTAATATGGACAATGACAGATTCCCTTTGTCATGTGCTTTGAGAAATAAAACATTGCTTACTTGTTTTTCATTCTCACCACTGCTTTGCTGCTTAATGAAGGAAAAATCTTGTAGCATTTGGGGCACTGATGTACTAACGTACATCTAACTTTAAGCATGAGTAGTTCCATTGTCTTCAAAGGTGCCTACGTACTACGCACAATATAGACCTCGGTCCTAGATATATAGGTGAAGTGACCTATAACATCATAGCAGTCTCTAAAGCATAAGGATGATAATCCATCTATTCTGCTTTGTTAGGCTATGTCTAGACTTCACTGTCAAATTGGAAAAAGATACAGAATTTGTGGTATACAAATCTTTTTCCAATTTACTTTCGAAAGAGGTTTTTCTGAAATTTGGCGCATCTACACAGCGCCAAATTTTAGAAAAAAGTGCTTTTTCGACATCTCTTATGCCTCGTTGAACGAGGTTTACAGAGATGGTGAAAGAGAGCATCTGCTTTTTTCATTTTTTTTTTTTTAAAAGCAGACGTGTTCCTTGGACGTGGCATTGCTTTTCCGGGACACCTCCGGTATCCCAGAAAAGCAATGCAGTCTAGATGTGGCTTAAATGTTAAATGGGAGTCACCACATTCCACTAATAATTTT